ATCCTATTATGGAGAAAATAAGGAAAAGATCTTCTTCGGGACGCCCGTATTAAAAAGCTTTTTTCGAATGACCTAATGTTGCCATCCGACAAAGCAGCTGCGGCTGCTTACAGAAAACAGTCTGCCCCTTCCATGGCCGCCGCCGCCACGGCAGTCACGACCGCAGCTGAGGAAGGAAAGCCCCGAAGACTCAGCTGGGCAGATCTATCGGAAGACGAAGACGCAGCACTCAGACTCACTTATTCAGAATGGGTAAGCCGGGATTCGAACGCGCGCGGCGCACACACATGCAGGTTTCGACCGTTGTGTTCCGAGGCTATCCTCTCACCGCTGTATTCCAACGGGCTGTATTCCAACGGGCTGTATTCCCACGGGCTGTATTGCAGCATCAAAGAAGATTTAAAAGTGTAGAATCAGAGAACGAGGAACCGCCCGCTTTCCTGCTACCTTCGGCGGCAACGGCAGGACAAACTTCCTCGGCGAATGAGGACCTGGACGTAACCACTTTAATACGGAGCAAGAAGAAGAAGCCCGCGACGACACCGCCGCAGCTCCCGGCTGCGGCGCTAGGCGATGAGTTGATGTTCGACGCGCACCGGTCGATGCCGGCGTTTCGGTGTCTGGACGTCTTGGACGACGGGACGATGTCTGCTGACGACCTGTCACTTCTCGTGCACACTCTCAGTCAACTCACAGCCGGTGCTCGACCCGATGACCCTCTATGGACGTCGCCCTCCCCCGCACCCTCCCCCCCGCCGTACAGTTCGCCGAATCATACGCCGCAGGAGGTCCTGGAGCGCAACCACTCTGCGTCGGCGGCGAGGTCCTTGCCGCACGGATTGTCACCGAACGCGGCGCTACCTCCCCGCGGATCAGCCTGTAGTCGTGCCGCGGGTCTCACCTCCTCCGGCCTCGCCCCCGGACTGCCCCCGTTGGGGTTACCGGCCATGTATTCGTCGCCGCCTCCGCAAGCCTTGGGGGTCCAGACCTCGGGGCCGGGAGGGGCGGTCTCGTTGGCTACTGGAGCGTTGGGTACTGGGTCGTTGGGGGCGGTTGGGACTGGGTCGTTGGGGCCACTAAGTTCTCCTGCAGAAAGGTATTTTGAGGTTGTGCCGGAGGTGCCATGTTACCCGGAGGATTCACAGATCGTGGTGGACGGGCATAATCTGACACACTGGCGGAGCCTGTTTGCGAGATTGGCCTTTGCAGCGCCGGCGACGTTACAATGTTATGTGAGCGGCATGCGGGTGCCTGCGTCGAGTCCGACACCTGCACGTGCGCCGAAGCGCGGCGCCAAGGCTGCTGCTGTGCGCCCGCCGCCTAGCGAGGGTCGTTTCAAACAAATTGCGCGCGGCAAAAGCACCCGCGAATATCTCGCCTATGTTCATGCCGTCCCCAAAGAAGAGCGACAACCTGGCGTGGATCCAACTACGCCTCGTGTTGAAGGCAGTTCCTGGCGCGAATTCCAGGCTGAAGTCCGTGCTTGGAAGCGAATGCTCCATCGCAAATACGAGTACCTGGAGTCCCTCAAACAAACCTAGCCTGTGTGGCACACACACGTGTGTGTGCTGTGCCACACGTCGAGGAGCTTCCGCTTTTTCATGCCCAACCCTCCACGTGAACTATCCAGGTCGCTTTACCGTCTCAATCAGGTGGCCCGAGTTGGCGCCCATTCAAGTTACGAGCTCTTCATGCTAGTTTTTTTGAAGGTGATGCTACTGAGCATGAGTGCGTAAAGAAGCGTGCACGGCATTAGAACTATCAGCAATAGACTGCTGGGCCGCATGGCCACGGCGATGGGGTAGAGCAAGGCGGCCGGGAGCAGGACCATGACACAGAAGACCAGAAAGGTGCTGACTAAAGTCGCCGCGAATAACAAACCTTCTTGCCACAGCCACACGGGCCAGGGCCGCTCGCTGTGCAAATGCGAAGAACTCTACATAAGAACGTGCATTGGAGATCGGGAGTGCATGTACCATCTCTTTCGCTGTCTTCTCTTTTCTGTTTTTCCCGAAATTCGCCCGTGCTCTTGGTCCGGGCCAGTCTGCGAACTTAGCAGCCGTTGTTGGCGCCCAATTCCCTGGACTCACGTTCGTGCGTGCGTCCGACGTCCCGCTCACGTTCGTGCGTGCGTCTGACGTCCCGCTCGGCTGTGTCATTGTCGAGGTGGGCATATACGTCTCCTTAGGATCGGAATCCGCGACTAATCACGCGCCTGTAGTTCAGAACGCACCGCCACTCTCCCATCTTCTTCTCAACCCCCGAGTAAACTAGGAATAAAGGGGAACGTTGAGGATCGCGCGTGGACTACAGAGAGTCGCACGGCGCATTAGTCGGCGACGACCAGCAAGTTCACGAGTCGGCGGGGCTGGCACCGAGCACGCGCACCAAACCCCGAGCAATTCGGCTTGGGCTATACGACGTAAAGTCAGTTCAGTTTTATATTTGGCTCAACTATCTGATGAAGGCAAGTACTGCGCTACGCTTGGTCAATGAGTCGGAGTGTGTGGCACTGGCGGTGTTCATCGGTCCCAATGGGTAGTTGTCTTCTAACGACGGCTGTGAGTGGCGAGGCCACCACTCCATCTAGCACGACCATGGTTAAAGACTACCACACCAACCAACCAGACTGAATTGGCAAAAAAAGAATACAACTGACAAACTGTTACAGGCATGTTGATGCCAAACAGCACCTTGGGCATGCCAGAGGCTTCTAGGGAAGAAACTTCGGTCAAAAGCTTTAACGTGTCCTCTTTTATGTGTTCTAAGGTGTTCTGTATTATTTTTACTGAACTGTCCTCGAACCGGGGATGTGCCGCTTTCAACCTAGAAATCGCTCTGTCCAAAGTACCAAACAGATGTGCTCGCATACCATTCATGTTCCGGTATAATTCCACCCTTCACGTCTTGGTATAAAGTCCAGCACACGCAAACCAGGTTGATGCAAGTCCGTCACCTATTCATAGAGCCACAACAATAGGCGGAAGCGGCGGATGCGGTGAGTGCGTGCTTGATGCGTTCAAGCACAGCCGAAGCACCCATTGTGAGCACAGGCTCCAGGTCTTCCCGCAACAACTCGCTCAGACACGGTAAATCTTCGCGCAGTCGTGCCGCCACTATCGTCGTCGTCGTCGCCGGTGCCGGTGCCGGCGCCTCCAGGAACCGATCGAGCCACGCACTTACTGCGTCCTGCAAACATTTCCTTGCATTTCCTTGCGCGCCCACTCATCGAATCAGTTCACTGCGCCCAATTCCGTGGACTCACGTTCGTGCGTGCGTCCGACGTCCCGCTCGCGTTCGTGTGTGCGTCCGACGTTCCGCTCAAATTCGTGCGTGCGTCCTACGTCGGGTTCGGCATCGCCCCAGAGTGCGCGCGGGAGTGCCTCGAGCACCTCGGTCGCGCATAGTGTCAGAGAAGGTGCACTCTCTGAGTTCGTTGGCTACAGCGGCAAAAGCAGCACGGTCCGGATGTCGTCGGTGGGGGTCATGAGTATAGGGTTACATCGAGTGCTCGAGACGGTTTTCGCTTGGCGCGATTTAACTGCACGTGAACGTAATGAACCGCCACTCGGCGCTCATGTACAACTGTACAAGGCACTCGTCAAGTGCCACCGTGC